TTCTACTTTACTACTTCCTTTTCGTCTTCTTTTTCTTCGTCTTCTTTTTCTTTTACTGCTACGACTTCTACTGTTTTCCTTTTACTTTTTCTTGTTTTTTTTTTCATTTTCTTCTACTTTTACGTTTACTTCTTTACTTTTTCTTCTTTTATTAATTTCTTTTTTCTTTTCTTTTTCTTTTACTTTTACCTTTTCTACTACTTCTGCAACTACTACTTCTTATATTTTTCTTCTTTTTCTTCTACTTTTACTTTATCGTGTTTTTATATTTGTTTTCCTTCTCTTCTTTTTCTTCTACTTCTTCCTTTTCGTCTTCTTTTTCTTCTTCTACTGCTTCTTTTACCTTTAATTCTTCTTCTTCTTTTTCTTCTTTTTCTTCTGCTTCTTTTACTTTATCTTCAGCGTTTTTTCTTCTTCTTCTTCCTCTCTCTTTCAGTATATATATTTATATATATATATATATATATATATATATATATATATATATTGAACAATAAAAATATTAAAAAATTAAAATCTTCAGACACACAGGGTTGTAGATTAATATTCTTTCGTTATTATTATTATTATTTCATTTAGATTCCTCGACTAGTTTCGGCCAAAATCGCCATCATCAGGAGAAGACAAATTTCTGCTTGCTGGTAGCAGTGACCTACAGAAATGAATGCCTTGATGGAGAAAATGAACTTTTGTCTGTAGTTTTCATTTGTTTTTAATTTTTTTTATCTTTTAACATGAATCTTTTAACATTCCTTGTGTTGGCCAAACAGTCTCTTTTAAGTTGTTTTTTGAGATAAGAGCTGGATGGATCTATGCTGCTCTGACTTACCCTGGTCAGTTTGACAGTTTTATTTGATATATATATATATATATATATATATATATATATATATATAAATCCGTAAGGTAAGGATAATCCAAGTAGGTCTTTTTAATGTAGAAATATTAAAAAGATAGATCCATGAAGAGAGCTCAATCTATATATATAACATAGGATGTCTGTGTGTCTGTATCTCTGTCAGTCTATCTGTGTAATAACGTTTCTCTCGAGACCCACTCATGCAACTGATTTTGACTAAACTTGGCACATACGTTATACATTGTAAGAGATGGGATCTTGGCGTAAAAAATCGATAATTTTAAAAAATCAATAACCTATAAAGCCGATCAAAATCGATAAATTTAACTTTTTTCCTCCGATTTTGATCAAACCTGATATGTAGATAAACACAATCGATTTCAACACAAATTTTAAACTAAAATCCCCCTCAGTTTTCAAGCAATCTAATACAAACTTCACTCAATTGTAGCCAACTATAAGTTGATTGTTTAACAGTCATTTAACTTGATAATTGAGTCCACCTATGTAATGAAAACCCGCGTTAATAGCGAAAAATGTCGATTTTTACTGGTTTCTTTCTTATTTTTTGTTCATCTTTCAAGCAATTTTCATCAAACTTAACAATCGCTTTATAAATGTATTCTCTTTTACATCCCTGATAGCACACTAACGAATTGAATTTCAAATACTCTAAAATAAAAACTCTAAAATAATTGTGGTCTGAAGTGGGTCTTCATGTTGCCTGTTTTACCCCTTCATATCCTCGGCTAACTTCGATTGAATAAATACATGCTACTTTTGTTATATCAGTAACTGCATTAATTCAAAATGTTGTTTTAATGAAAGTACTTTAAAATAATTGAAAAAGATAGACTCTGTTACAAACATGATGCTGTTTTTGCTCCATTCTGTTTGAACGCTTTTTCTCATCGATCAGCTGGGTATGGCTGTTAGTGTATTTATATACAGAACAATATGATATACACCAAGAAGGAAGAAACTAACACATCATCGAAGAATTTGTTAATAAATTTATTTCGACAGATAAATTTTTATTATCTGCCTCAACAGACCGAAATTACAAAATGGTTTAAATTTATCCAGATAATATATTAAAAATTATTTTAAAATGAAATCCCAAGAGAAAAGGAAGTAAATGTCTAAATTACTTGACCTAGAAAAAATTTCCTGGGGATTTACATTATTGAAGAAAGAGGCGGGGGAAAAAACTAGAAACAAGGTGTCAGGACAATGAGCAGAGATAGGTGGGGGAGTACAAGTGACAGCTAGTGAAATGCATTGAAATTAAATCAAAATTTATATCCTCATCATCGAAACTACGTCAATATAAGAACAATCATCATATATTAAAAAGTGTGAAAAAATAAATAACAAAATAGAATTAGAAAACCCTTATATCTAATTCATCTTCATAATTATAACATACATCATATATATATATATATATATATATATATATATATATATACGTGTGTGTGTGAGTGTGCGTGTGTGCTTGTGAATATACCACACACATATATATTTTTTCTTCTTATATATATATATATATATATATATATATATATATATATATATATATAATTTTCTCGTACATTCATACCTACTGATGCGTATCCAAATGTAAAAAATTACGTCACACATTATGAAATGGACAAAGTCCGACAATTATTTTAAGACATTTTTTTTATGTTTATACGTTCTTTTTCTAGATACAAATATTTAAGTAAATGCGCTGTTCATAATAAACAGTATTAACGACATTTACCGGCCTGAATGTCTGAGAAATTTTTATAGAAAATATGCGTCCCCCGACAGGAATTGAAGCTTTATACTATGCGGAACAATTCATTGAGAATTGTAGTTTAAAAACTAACCGAAACGCTCCTCTGTTGCTCAATCGGTAATGCACGTCAGGCTATATAACGGTTCCCGCATATATATATATATATATATATATATATATATATATATATATATATATATATATATATATATATATATATATAAGGATCAAACATTAATATTCCATGGTTATAATTTATTACATTGGAATCCTAATCATGAGCCGTTTATATTATATTCTTACTCTGTGCTAGACATTGAATTCTACCTGGATTCTATACTCTTGTAAATATATATATATATATTGATCACTATATTATCCATATATATATATATATATATATATATATATATATATATATATATATATATATATATATATATGTCTGTTGTATCTTAGACTTGTGCTGTAAAATATATGTGACTGATGTTGAGGTTTCTAAAAGAGGTCACTGCAGATATATTGAGTCGATCATTTTGCAGCTCCATCTCCGAAGAGTGCTTGACTTAGGATGGCGGTATGTAAAGTCCCGAATAAAGCTTCTGAGGGGGGGGCAGTGACCTGAAGAATGGAAAGATTCCACTTCATGAGATTCATGGATTATGTTGGATGATGGCGACACAGAAAAGATCTGCAAAGAAATATAACAATATGTTATGAATGCGGCAAGGTTTGCCAATCAACTGAAGATTTAAAATGATATATGAAAATTCATTAGCTCCAGAAACAAAGACATTTCTCGTAAGGTATCTCACTTGACGCTACAGAAGAAAAGGAAATCCTTATGAGACATATTACAACCTGCTCCAAAAAACAGATATTGTGCTAACCGCTACATAAATATCTTTTCTTTATGGATAATGATACAAAAATGTAAAGTACAGCGTAAATGAATGTAGCGCTAAAACATACGACAGAGTAGGGCCAGTGATATAAGACAACTGATTTGGAATGAACATGCTAAATAAATGCTACTAGCATAAATTAGATGGTCTGTAAGGTAAAAAAAAAAGTAAAATAGGTCTTTGAGATCCAAGTTGACCAACCTGTTCAAGCATGAAGACTATTGATGAGAAATGAACAAATAAGTATCGATTTTCAAAAGAATAGAATGTAAAGAAAGAAGAATAAACAACAACGTTTTCTTGTATTTCATGTGGATATTGCGGGTTTTATTAGCTCCCACCCCCGCCCCCAGCCGAAAAAAATACAACTTTCTTTTTGTCTTTTGCAGGAAGTTAAAGTTCTAACAGATTGCCTGATATGATTCTTACCATCTGCAGCAAGTTTTATAAACTTGCGTTGAAATTAGGTCAGCTGTGCTACATACTGCTTAACTGAGACCTCATCAACTTTGGCAGTTGCTTTGGGTCTGAAGATTAAAGTTCTGCTAAAATCAATACATTTGTTAATTATTAAGGTGTTCGTATTCTTTATATGTGCGAGTAGATAGCGGCTCGGAATGTGAAATCGGAGAACCGAGTTCTAATGCCGCTCGGGTTCGCAACATTTACTTATTTGTAAATACCCTTGGGAAAGGTGTGAATACATCTCCTTCTCCAGCTATGGGTTAATTAGTATTACTTGTATGGAGAAAAATCATTTTTATCCTCCAAAACGATCTTAATGAAATATTCACTTGCAAAAAAAAAAAATAAAAAAAAAAAAAAAAAAAAAAAACAAGAATTCTTCTTACAATCCAAAAATAAGTTTCGGGTTTTAATAACCTATAAAGGGTTGATAAACTGTAAAAAACAAACAAATCGAACGAACGGTCGTTATATGATCGGATATTTTTTTTTCAAAGTTAGACTCTTTAATATATTAGGATTCAATATGTCTACCTATAAACAATCCATCTTATAATATTTTTAAATGTGTTTTTAATCTATCTATCTATCTATCTATCTATCTATCTATCTATTGCAAGCTGTTATTTGTCTGTCTCTTATCTATCTATCTATCTATCTATCTATCTATTGCAAACTGTTATTTGTCTGTCTTTTATCTATCTATCTATCTGTTGCAAACTGTTATTCGTCTGTCTTTTATCTATCTATCTATCTATCTATCTATCTATCTATCTATCTATCTATCTATCTCTACTTTATTAAATCGGATATGTGATCTGAATTAATTTTATTCTCACCAGACTATCGATCACTTTACGTTTTTTGAACTAATCGAACGATGTTCGCAAATTTGATATATCCAATATTGCTGTCGCCAAAAAGAAACCAGAACGTTTTGTAAAGTTCTCAAGCGGCGATAGAGACGTGAAATGTGAGGTTGTAATGAAAGATCTGTCTGGACAAGGAAGTGAAGCGTGCGCTCGAATATGGTTTCCAAGTATTTGGAGTTTAAGATTTCAGAAATTTTAAAGCCAATATAATGGTAAGAAGAAAACAAAAAGGCAAAAGCGAGAGGCACATGAAATTAAACGGAGTCCTAAGAGGAAGATACAGGAAGGAAAGAATAATGAATAGAAAAAGAAAAAGAGAGAAAAGGGAGGGAAAAAATAAGACTAACGACAAAGGGATTAGATAAAAAAAAAAGGTGAGGTAGAGAAGAAAAGTATAGGAAAAGAGGGAAAGAAGAAAATAGAAGAAAGGACGAATGAAAAGAAAAGGAAGGAAGGAAGGAAGGAAGGAAGGAAGGAAGGATAGGCAGAACAAAATTTGAAATGAAGGAATGAAAGAAGGAAGATAAGGGGTAAGGAAGGAAGGCAGGGAGAGTGTAAAGAAGAAATTAGTAAAGAAACAGAATGAAAAAAACGAAAAATAAGGAATGCGAAGGAAAGGACGGATGTAAAGAAAGACGAATAAAAAAAGAATGTGAAAGAAAAGAAAAAAAGGAAGGAATATAAAATAGAAGGAAAAAATGGAATAACGTTGGGGAAATAAAGCAAATGTAATGAAGGAGAAATGATTGGAAGAAAAAGTAAAGAAAAAAAATAACAGGAAAAAGTAATTAAAAGAAAATGAAGAAGTAAAAATATGAAGGAATAAGAAAGCGAAAAGAAAAGAAATACTGAAAAAAAAATAAAGATAAATTTCAAATAAATAAGAAAGAAAGAACAAGAAAAAGAACGTAGAATTAAAAAAAATTAGACTCAAAAAGAATAAAAGAAGATTAATTAAAAAGTAAAGAGAGGGCTCCATAATATATAAATAGAAAAAATTATTCAAGAACAAATGAAAAAAGAAAGACGATAGGAAGATTGAAAAAATGGAAAGAAGGAAAAAGAAGAGGCAATAAACAAGTGAAATGAACAAAAGGAAGAAAACAATAATGCTATAATAGAAGTGAAAGAAGGAAAAAGGAAATAAAATAAAGGAAAAGAATAAAATCAAAATGAATATTGTAAGACAGAAAAGTAAGAGAGAGAAAAAAGTGTGTGTGTGTGTGTGAAAGAGAGACAAATAAAGAAAGAGAAAGAAAAGATAAAACAGAAACGAAGGAAAATCAAATAAAAATGGAGAATATAACATTTTTTAAAAGCCGATGTGTGGGAAAAAAAAGGCAAGAACAAGAAATACACTAAGAAAAATGGAGGAAAAAAATAGCGGGAAGAACACATTTTAAAAGCCGATGTAAGGATAAAAAAGACAAGAACAAGAAATACACTAAGAAAAATGGAGGGAAAAATGGCGGAAGAACACATTTTAAAAAGCCGATGATGTGAAGAATTAAAAAAGAAAAATGGCCGGAGAAAAATGGCGGGAAGAAACACACACTAAGGATGAAAAATGGAAATACACTAAGAAAAATGGAGGGAAAAAATGGCGGGAAGAACACATTTTAAAAGCCGATGTGAGGATAAAAAAGACAAGAACAAGAAATACACTAAAAAAATGTAAGGGAAAAATGGCGGGAAGAACACATTTTAAAAGCTGATGTGAGGATAAAAAAAGACAAGAACAAGAAATACACTAAAAAAATGGAGGGAAAAAATGGCGGGAAGAACACATTTTAAAAGCCGATGTAAGGATAAAAAAGACAAGAACAAGAAATACACTAAGAAAAATGGAGGGAAAAATGGCGGGAAGAACACATTTTAAAAGCCGATGTGATGATTAAAAAAGACAAGACTGATCCCAGGTGGAAGTTGGTTGGAGTAAACAAACAAATTAGACAATGGTTTGGAGAAATGACCAAAAATTTATTTTCATTTACAAAAAATGAATATGGCTCTGGTAAGTCGTATAGTGTAGAGTTCGAATGTACGGTGTACATGTTGTGAAATGGATGCGTGAAAAAGGAATATACTTAACCCGGCAGACTGCTTGTTGGCTATCGGTTTGGTCTTGTCGGGTTGATGGTGAAATCCGTTTCCTTTCGTTGTTCACATGAGGTCGTTTTCACAGCCTAATGGTCGGACGGGCAGTCAGTCGTGCTCTCGAGTAGCCTCTATGGTTAGCGTGTGTGAAGTCTCTTTCTCTCTCTCTCTGATCTTTCTATCTCCGCTGTTCGGCTTCTCTGATAGCCTATAAAAAGGAAACTCACGGACGTAGTTGTTGATATCAAAATCGTAGTTGTTAATATTATCAAATTCCAAATTTAAGTATATTGTAAGATAAAAAGCAGGATATGCCTACAATTTACAATCAATTCACTTCTTTGGTTTAATAAGCTGTTTTTTTATCAAAGATCTAATAATTTCTAATTTTTTAGGTAAACAGAAAACAATGTTTTAATATCCTAAAATAAATAATATTTAGCTCTACTATGCGTTGAGCCTTCTTTTAAATTAAATGTTACATACAGTGGAATCATACTCCATTTGTTATCCTTTTACCTGGATATATATATATATATATATATATATATATATATATATATATATATATATATATATATTCGTACTAATTTATGTTAACGTAATGTTAATTGATTGGGCTCTCGCAGCATTTAATGAATTTCTTTCGTTTCAGTGGTTACTGGGGATTTGCAATTGCAGTTTGAAAGAGTTAGTATTCGTAATTATTTTATTTTATCTTTATTTTTTATCTCCCGGTGCACAGTTTGTGCTGGAGGCATTTCTGGGCCGCAGCTTGAGTCTTCAAATACGATAACGAAAGCTCAATCTTTGAAATAATTTATCTGAAAGTAAAACCCGGGATTGTTTTCAGTTTTCTGGGTGGGGATTGTTTATTTTTTTTTGTTTTATTAGGAAACGATAGGCTCTCCTATCGCCCGGTCCATACTCCTCCTCCTCCTTCTCTTGAACAGGAGTAGAGGCTAACCCATTGTTTACTGTTTAGGAAGGGGTTCCCGTTTCCTTTTCTTTACGCAGGCTTTAATAGTGGTGCTGTCACGAATTTTTTGTCATATTCGTGGATGGTGGCAACATCTCTTCATACTGAGTGTACCAGGCTGGCAGTTTTCTGGTTGCTTTTCCCTACTAGTAGTTAGGAGCCCGACCTCTTGCGTATCGTCTTGAGAGACTGCTTTGATCAACAGTTGCATAATATCGGGGTATCTTGCAGTGCCATGTCGCACATGGAAGGGCGTCCCTGCAAGCATCTCCGGTTAGCAACCCCGAGGACACACTATGTTGCCGTCTGCGCCATTCCCCTTCCTGCACATGTTACATTAGATGACCGACTGCTAGTACTACCTTAGGCCTTTCCTTATCAAAATAACAAATTGTGACTATAAACAACCAAAGATATAAGCCTAAACCAGCTCAACAAAAAACACCTGAACCCATTGATCTTTCTTTCTCCAACATACGTGCCAACTTCTGCAGTGTGGAATCGTTCCTCTTCGAAAAGTCTCTGGACATCCTAGCTCTCTGCGAAACTATATCTTAAGTTTTTAATCCCTTCCTCTGATTTTTCGATTCCTGGCTAGTCTTCTCTTCTTAGAAAGGATTCTAATGTCCACATGTGTGGCCTGGGAGTTTATGTACGCGAACATCTCCCGCTGGCTAGAGAACTATCTCTTGAATCTCCAGACCATTCTTACATGTGTCTCTATCTCTCTCTAACTCAGTCAGTTATCTCTTCTTTCTCTACCGTCCCCCTTCCTCTCATGACTATTGCGTGCTAGATAGTATTTCTGGTAATATAGCCCAGGCCATCTAACTAGACCCGTTTGCAAATATATTCAGGTTCAATCAGTTTAATACCCACCATACCAGGTGGCTTAAACACTCTGTCACTGATCTCATTGGCATCCAAATCCTTAACTTCTTAATCAATAAATCTCTCACGCAAATGGTTGACTTCTCTCCGCGTTTCCCCAGTAACCCTGACGGACAGGCTTCTGTTCTCAATTTTTTTTTTACCTCTATCCCCGACTCTTGTCTGCATTCTTGGTAACTCTGATTATGCGTGTCTGTAAACATCTCCTTCTGACCCCTCACCAGCCCAAAACCTCTTCCAACAGAATATCTTTCTGTTATCAACGAGTAGATTGAAACCCGTTCTGTGATTTCTTTCGTGATGATCCTTGGAATGAAGTTCTTAATCATCCTGTTCAAAAATGCGCGTCTGAGTTCTTCTCCGGTGTGAAAGCCGGTACCGATGTTTTCATTCCAGGAAAGAAATACCATGATAAACCGCGTCCATCTCCTTGGTTTTCACCTGCGTGTTCGGCTTCCATAGCCCACAGGGGTCACTTCTTCTGGCTGTACCAGATCGACACGTCTGACAAGCAATATGGATTCCGTTTTACGACCATCTCTGAATAAGTATATCAAGCTCTACTTAATAATGGCGAATTTCAAGATGTGGCTCTAGATATTTCAAAGGCGTTTGATAGGATTTGACGTACTGGTCTTCTACGTAAGCTTCAGAGCTACCGTATTACAGGACGATTGTTTGATTTAATCCAATCATTCCTATCAAATAGTGAAATGAAGGTCGTTCTGAATGGGCTCGCTTCCAGATCCTTTCACAGGTACGCGAGTGACCCCCGCCCTTGGCTCTATCCTGGATCCTACGCTGTTTCTGATCATCATTAATGATCTTACTGATGTCATCAGTTCTGAAGTAGGCAATTATGTAGATGACACTACCACTTACTGTCTCAATAGCAAGTTCGTCAGAGCTGACAATGTTAACCTGGCCGCTGCACTTGAAAAGGACTTCCAATCAGTGGTTAAATAAAAAGTTTTCACAATGGCTTCTAAATTTTAATGCCACAAAATTAAACTGCACTCATTTAACCACAATAGAGAAAATTTCCTGCCCACTATCAATTTGGCTGATGCTCGACTCCAGGAGTGACTCTCACAACGCCTACTTGGACATACCTTTTCAACTGACTCGAAGTGGAACAATTACATTGGATCAATAGCTGCATAGCTGCGAGGAAAGTTATCATGTAATCGTGAGGGATGAGAAATACACCCAGAAACCTATTCTATTACTTGTGTAAAGAATAAGGAAATTTCATCCCGAAGATCTTGAATCTATTTGACTATTTAATAGGTGACGGATAAAGGAATATTGTACCCGAATAAATACAAAGAAAACATCTTACTTACATCTCGGATGCAATCCAATTAATCAAGAGGAAACGTAACACAAATCATTATTCCGGAATCCTATATTTCATATTACGGAAGAAAGAACAGCCAACTTTTGTGAACATTCTTCAGCAACTCATTACGAACCTTCGAACTCCAAATTCTTGAAACACAAATATTTGAACTGACATCCAATATCAGTTAAGTGTTATTTTATTAATTGTACGTCTATCACGCCATACTTTTCCCATATTTTGTATTTTCTTATATAAAATTTATTTACAAATATTAATCCTGTGTTTGTTGTTCGTCGTTACCTGTTTGTGTGATTCTATCTGAGCGAACCCAACTTTTAATTCTTTTTTTGAACCTGGGTTTCCTATCTTTATACGTTGCGAATTCGTAACATGGTGAATGACGTCATCATAAAGGAAGCAATCAGTAAAGAAGAAATTAAATTCTTGGATACAAGATAAAGCCGACGAGCACGACGACGATAAACATATACACACTTCACTTCCTCCCTCTTTCACACATACGCATACACACTTTCTCTCCTTCTTTCATCTATCCTTTCTGGCATTCTCTCTTGCACACACACACACACACACACACACACACACACACACACACACACACACACACACACACACACACACACACACACACTTTCCATTTTCTTAGTCTTTCATTCTCACCTTTATACGTACACAATATTCGCATACATACATACAGCTCTCTTTTCGTTTTCTCTTCTCTCTCATACGTACACACACCTGAACACACATTCTCTGTATTTCATACTGGCACACATACTCTCATTCTCTCTCTCTCTCATGCGCACATACACCCACCCACCGAGATGAGGAAAGAAGAAAGTGGCATGATAGATGGAACAAAAAAGGTAACGAATCGTCTTCAGACAAATTCGAAAAGCGATGTCTGTGATTTGGCATCGACCTTCTCTAATTCTTGTGCTCTTGGAAATAACAAGGCCCAGACCAGCGTTGTTGT